CAGTGACCGCCAAGCAGCGAGAGCGCCCAGGAGGGGCAGCTGCTAAGACCAGGCCCCAGGTGTGTGCGGCCTGGAGGAGGCTGGGCTGCTGCCTGGGAAGCCGGGGGCAGGGCTGAGCCCACAGCAGGAGTCCCAGTGGCTCTGAGGGGGCCCGGCTCCCCAGGCCAGCGGAGTGGGGAGGGGAGAGAGGGTGGCAAACAGGGGCTGAGCTGAGGAATGGGCCCTCCACTGGGTCCCCACTGATCACCCGGCCAGGGCTCCCCTCTGCAATAGCTCCTCTGCGCTTAGGGCTTCTCCAGCCCCAATCCCACGTCAGATTCCCTGCACTTGGCGCTGAGCGGCTCTAAGCCTGGAGGAGTGAGGGCAGGAGGGCTGTGGGAGGCAGAGAGGGCGTCAGGCTGGCCTAGAATTCCCCATGGGAAAAGCCTAGAGCTATATAAGGAAAAAGGAAATTAGGAAACTGAGGTCCTGTGGGGAAGTGAGTTGGTGGCAGGTGGGGGTGGGCTGGATCCTGGCCTCTGGGTGGTGCTGATGTGGGTGCTGGCTTCCCTGTAGCAGCTGGCTCAGTGGCCAGACAGCGCCCCCCACCCCCTGCCCCTGCTCCACCCGCCCCACGGTTGCAGGGCATGATGGGCCCAGGGTACTGTGATGCATGGACTCGGTGAGTCCTGATTCCTGGCTCACACTCCCTGCTTGGAGGTGACCTCCTGGGAGGGTTAGTCAGCTCTCCGGGTGCCCCTAGGCAGAGTATAGTGAATGTGCCTCCCACCCACCCAGCACCCCCTCTCCGGGGTGGGGGCCGCTTCCCTCGGGCCTTCTGGACACTCCCTTTGTCTTGTTTAGCAAGGCCTTCCCTCTCCCCGCTGCCTCTCCCTGCAGCTTCCCGTGTGCATGGGCGGCCACTGGGGAGAGGGATCCTCAGATTTGGGGCCACCAATGAGCCAGCCTCCTGGGGAGCCAGAGCCCCAGGACCGACCTGTGGCTTCTCCTCCCTGCCCCTCCTCACCCCGCGTGCTATTCTTGTGCTATTCTTGTGCTATTCCGGCTTCTGCTTTTCCTAATTACTTTCTCAGCAGGGGATTCTCAGACTGTCAGTCAGCACTCACAGGGGGGCTTCCCGGAGGAAGTGGTCACTGATCTGGATCCTGGAGTGCACGAGGCTCTGCTGTGACTCTAGAAACTTCCAGGAGTTTCCAGGAGCTTCCAGGGGAGGCCGAGGCTGTGAGTGGAAGCAGCTTGGCCTCTCGTTCCCCGCCGTCACTCTGACCCACAGATTCTCTTCGGGCAAGTGGGAGTGGGGCTGGGGTTGGGCAGTGGGAGGAGGTAGGACTAGATGGAGGAGCTCTCGTCTGTGAGACGAAGAAGAATTTTGTCTGTCTGGTGGGATCTTCAGGGCTGGCCACTGCCTGGGGTCACAAAGAGAGGATTTAGGAGAGGGAGGGAAGGAGGGAGGGAGAGAGAGAGAGAGGCAGGGGTGGGCACAGAGAGAGAAGAGGGTGAGGCCCCCTCACTGCCTTCACCATCCTGAGCACAGGAGCCCTCCTGGCCCCCTGGGCAGTGTGTTGGTGTCTCTGTTGCCAGGCACCCCTTCTCTTTTTCCTGGAGAGCCCTGGTGCTTTCAGGGCCAGTGGTACCCACCCCTGCGGGGCCTGGTCCCCACGCTGTGCTGCTGTGGGGGCTGCTTCGGGAACCGGCTGCTGGAGCCTTTGCCAGGGGCACTGGCCGAGGGACAGCTGGCTGCCAGCAGACTGTGACAGTTACAACGCCATGCTCCTCCCCCACCCGCCAGTGAGGCTGATGACTTCCTGAAAAGGGGCTAAATGGGGGGTTTGTGACTTGGAACATCTGATGTGACCTGAGGACTTCCTGTTCGGATGACCCCCGGGGCTCCTGACCTTTGAGAGTGCGTCCAGGGCATGGTCAGATGGCCCTGGGAGTCACTCTTCTTAAGCAGAGCCCACCCTGGGGCAGGGAGTCCAGGCTCCCCAACTCCCTGAGTCCTGTGGGAGTTGCTGCCACAGAGGCTGCCTGGTGGCCTGAGGCTCAGGATGTCAGCAGGGAAATCCCAACAGAAAGCGGATCTTCCCAGGAGAAGGCGGTTTGGGTGCCCCCTTCCCTCGACCCCCCAGGGCACTTAGGACAATGGATCCTGAGCAGAACCTGGGATCCCCCAGGCCCTGAAGGCCCCCATGTGTGAAACTGCCCAGGGCCCTACTCTGGGCTTGTTGGGGGCCTCAGAGGGTCCTGAGCACGCCTGAGACGGCCCACACGCATGGGACCCCGCGTCACCCTTCCTCCTATTGGCTGGGTGACCACTGATACGACCAACCAGTTGGTCAGGCCTGAGTTGCCTACAGCATCAGCTGTCTGCCTACTGGGCTGCCTGGGAAGCAAGTGGCTGAATCAGGCCTTGGCTAGACGTTAATGAATGCCAGGCCTGTGGACTCGGGCTGGAGGGGTGGGGTGGGGTGGGGGACTTGAAGGCAGGCCAGCTTCCCAGGAGGAGGAGATGTGGTAATTCACTGTGGGCAGTTGGAGAGCAAACGCCTGCCCCTCACGGGCAGTGAATATGAGAGTAACTGTCCTGTGCCCGTGGGGGAGAGAGGGGAGAAGGCGCGGCTGTGGTCAGAGCAGTGAGGAGGTAAAGCCGGAGCGTTTGATTTCCTGGGAGAAGGCAAACCGAATGCTGGCTCAGTTGAGAAACATTCAATCCAGTGTTTCTCTTTGGAAGGACAATGCAGTAATCGGAAGGAGATGAAGACCTGGGGAGGGATTATTCCTCTCCGGCCCCACGTGTGGCTTTGCCCTGACACCAGGACCCGATCTGGAGGAAAGCCCGACTCTGACCCCTGCCTCCTGCAAGCCACAGAGATGGGTGGTTAGAAGGAAGATATAAAGTGACTGTCCCCCAAATGACACCTTATCATGATCAGCCTCCCTGGTTGATGGGCCAAAGCATCCATGGTCAACGTCATTGGCTGGCTGCTCTGGCTTTATTAACCCATAGCCCCTCTGAGGACAGGGTCCTCCCAGAAGTTTGGTGGGGGCAGCATGCCTCCATCACTCCCCCCAACCAAGTTCATGCATCTGAGAGCCTTCTCCAAGCATCTGCAAGGGAAGGAAAAGCCCAGCAATCACTTATGCAGGGACCACCTTCCAGGGCTCCCAGGCCGTTCCTGACCTGCAGGCTCATCTGGGGAAGGTGGGTGGGCAGAAAACCAAGGCTGCAGGTACACCTGTGCCTTGAGCCACCTGGGTGTCCTTCCTACAGGCACCACCTGAACTCACCATTTCCACTCCAAACACCTGCCTCTGCCCTGGGCATCTATCTGCCTCCTCCCAGCTACCCAAGCCAGGATGCATCCCCTCAGAGAGTCCCCTCTCCTGCTCCTCATTCCCCCAGGTTCGCTTCTGAGTCTGCCTCGGTTGTGTTGCAGCTCTCCCTTCCCTGTCACCAGCTGTCATCTTTCTTCATCTTTCTCTATGACTACAGCACTGGTCTCCTAACTGGTTTCTCTCTCCAGTCTCACGCTCTTTGACTCAATCAGCCGGCCAGGTGGCACTCAAGTTAGGAGAAGTTGAGAAGGGCTTGTGATGGCTGGGCAAGGGGTAGGAAGATGCCTAGAACTAGAGACATAAGTCTATAAGTCTGCCCTAAGGGATGCAGCCAGCTTGTGGGCACCCTGCTGCCAGGAGGGAGGGAACAGGAGTTAATGCCTTGACCTCACTCTTCTACGCCTCCCTGCACCTCCTGCTGGGTCTCCCATTGGGGAAGGGGAGGGACAGCCCAGTTAGGCTGACTGACTCCTCAAATGACCTAAGACCCCTCCTCAGACCAGCAGAATATTGAGGGATGGAGGTGGGGTGGCAGAGGGTCGGCTCTGCCTCGGGCACCCGCCACCCCCTCCACCTTCAGAGACCATTGTCTTTCACTCCCCCGCACCCCCTCTCACGCACACATCCCAGAGGGCTCCAGACTCGAGCCTGAAGCAGACCTGATGTGGGCGCAGAGCTTATGTAGGACAAAGGGCTTTAGTGCGCCATTCAAGGAGCAGGTGGAGTGGGCCAGGGCGAGTCTGGAGGCAGGTCTGCCCAGTCCGCACGTGAGCTCCTACCTCCACTCCAGCAGCTGGGGTGCTCCTGGGGAAGGGGTGCTCCGGGGGAAGGGGCACGGGGGGCTGGCATGTCGGGGAGCACCTCTGCGGGGAACAGGCAGGGACCAGGAGAGAGGCGCAGAGAAGCAGGCTCTCGGAGCTTGGGGGGCTCCCAAGGGCCAGCTCCTGCCACTTCTGGTGGCATCTGGGGGTGTGGTTTTGTGGCTGAAGCAGAGGGCAGGCTCCGGGGACACTGGTGGAGAGAAATCTCCAGTAAGGCCGATCCCACTGAGCACTGAGGCTGGAGCCTGCCCGGGGTGCACAGGAGCCCCCAGAAAAGGCTCCATGAGATGGGGAGCCGGGAGGGGTCAGGAGGGTGAACGTGGTGGTGATCAGGCCTTCACATCCAGCAGGCTGTCCCTGTCCTTCCCAGGGCCATTTTCCCAGCTGCTGGGAGCCTGCCTGGCCCTGCCCCACTGAGTCGCCCCGGAGCCTGAGCCGGCAGGCGGGTGTGGCAGCCGTTGTGCAAGGGGTGAGCTCACCTGCTGTGCCCGCCCCAGCCTGCACCGGCCTGTCCGCCGCAGTTAATCATTGTTCAAATGTCCTGCCAGGCGAGTGGGCTGCGGTGGAAGACGTGACAGGCAGGGCCACCTCTGCCAGGTCTCAGCAAAGCTCCCAGCAGGCCCGGGGCCGGAGCTGCTCCCAGACCCTCTGGTGCAGCTGAAGTCACCTCTTCCGATTCTTTACTGGGAGCTTAGCAAACATTTTATTAAAAAAAAAATATTTTTATTGATTTCAGAGAGGAATGGAAAGGGAGAGAGGGAGAGAAACACCAATGATGGGGGAGAATCATTGATCGTCTGCCTCCTGCATGCCCCACACTGGGGATCGAGCCTGCAACCTGGGCATGTGCCCTGACTGGGAATAAAACCGTGACCTCCTGGTTCATAGGTCAATGCTCAACCAGTGAGCCACGCCAGCTGGGCACACTCTTTTTATTGCATCAAAGAACGTTTCCTTGTCCACTTCCTCTCTTAGCGTGAGCTCAAGGCAGCCCAGATGCCTTGGTTCGAGCAGCAGCTCTGCCACTTGCCAGCTGTGTGATCTTGGCTGAGCCTCACAACCTCTGTCTGTTTCCTGGGCTATGAAAAGGTGTTGATGATGATGATGGTGCTTTCCTCCCAGGACCGTTGTGGAGAGTAGGATATACGTAAGTGCATACTATGCCAATGATACAGAAACCTGGGTGCCCAGAACTAGGACTAAACCACACTCCACTGGGCTCAGCTGGAGGAAGCCTGCGGCCACCGGGCGCTGGGCTGGGCTGCTTGAGCAGGCTGTGTAATCAGCCCGCACACGGTCCCTGTGGGTTAGGTACAGCGACCGTCCCATTTCCCAGGAGACACCAGGCTCAGGGGAGGGAGGCAGCTGTCCGAGGTCACACGGTGAAAGCGACAAGCCCAGGTCCATCTGCGCCAGAATCCCGAGTTCTCTCCACTACCCAACTCTGCCAGTTTCGCAGATCAAAGATGCGGATCTGAGCTTGTCAGGCAATTAAGCTCTGCCCACACTCATTGACGTCCTCGGAGCATGGGGGTGGGAATGGGGCTGGGGCTGGGGGTGCTGGGCTGAGTTCTGCTGTGAGACGGACACCAACAATGCCCTACTCTAGTGATGGCGAACCTTTTGAGCTCGGCGTGTCAGCATTTTGAAAAACCCTAACTCAACTCTGGTGCCGTGTCACATATAGAAATTTTTTGATCTTTGCAACCACAGTAAAACAAAGACTTATAATTTTTATATTTATTTTATATATTTAAATGCCATTTAACAAAGAAAAATCAACCAAAAAAATGAGTTCGCGTGTCACCTCTGACACCCGTGTCATAGGTTCGCCATCACTGCCTACTCAGTCCGAGAGCTCGGAGAACCCCGGACGGAGGAGCAGACAGGAAGACCCGTGACATGCCACTGTGGGCTGGGATCCGGGGGGGCGGGGCAGGACCCCTAGACAGCCCAGGCTTGGGTGGTAGCTGGTGGAAAAAGGGCCTTGACGGCACACACTGGAGTGTTTGCAGTATATGTTTATTTGTCGTGGTTTGGGGAAGAGGAACTGGAGGATTGCCAGAGGCTGGGACCCCTTTCCTTCCTACCCCAAGCCCCCCATGGCGCAGTTACCTGCTGGGATGAAGGCAAAGGCAGCCACAGCTGGGTGTGCGAGAGACCCCACTGCATAACCCTGGCGCAGGCCTCTGCCCTCTGCCTCAGTCTGTCAGAGGTGCACCTTGGGGAGAGTCCTGGGAGGCTGGGAGCTGGCCCCGGGGCTGGTGGGAGGATTTTGGGGACCCCATGGGAGTCAGCACACCCTGGGATTGGCAGCTAGGAAGCATCCATGTCGGACAAGTAATCTGAGACCTTGTGAAAGAAAAGGCCTTGAGGCCAACTCATGCAGCCCAGGGACCTGTGTGTGTGTGTGTGTGTGTGTGTGTGTGCGCGCGCGTGCCCACATGTGCATGGTGTTTAGGACTGACCAGGGCAGCAGCAGTATAGTTTGTGGAGTTCATCACACGGCAGCTCTAGAAATCTCCCCCTGGGTCCTCCCTTGGGTGCTGGCACCCCCCAGCCCCCGCATGCCCACCCTCCCCCCACTCCAAAGCACAGTGCTCCCACCATCCACCTCTCACCAGCCAAACAGGCTCCTAGAATATGCTCTGATGCGCTCATCTCCCCTGAGCTGCCGGTGACCGAACATAAGGCTGCTTCAATGCCCCCTCCCAGCCGCTCGTGCTGTTCTCTGCCCCCTGCCCCCAAATGCATGGCCATGGCCTGTGGCCAGGGAGTCCCGCTCTGGGCAGGAAGTGTGGCACTGAGCTGCCAGGCCCCCTAGCGCTCTGGGACACACAGGCAGCCTGTCCCTGCCTGTCCCTGCCTGGCTGCAGCTGGAGGCAGATGAGAGGAAGCGGGAAACCAGTCCTGGCCACCAGGACAAATTCCAGCCCCAAAGGCCAAACTCACAGCCCTTCTGCATGTTTACTGCCAGGCCTTGGACACACACTGACCATTCCTGACCATGGTCGAAGCCACAGATGCAGGTGGGAGGAGCCACAGATGAGACCCTGGTAAGTGGGATGAGGTGTGATTCGTGGTGGTGGTGCCAGGAGGTATGAGGAAGACACTGAAGATCCTGAAGGAAGTGAAAAAGGTCTGATCTCTCCAGTCTTTCCTCCCCATACACCACCAGCATGCTCTCCTGCTCTCAGCCAACTTGGCCGCTTAAATGACTATCAGGTTGTTAGGGAAACATTGGTGTCCCCGAGGATTAGGTGGGGCTATGAGTCTTCAGGAGGAGGTAAGGTACAATGCAAGCAACTTTCAGATCAGATCCTGCAACAGTGACATGTTTTGAATAACAAGGAGGCACAAAAGCAGTCATTTGACCCTCTCCACTAAGCTTGGGGACATCCCCTTCCTTTGTCCCTAGGAATGCCAGCCGGCACTTGCATCAGAGGTTGGTGCCCCAAAGATTAGCCTATGTTCTGTCGGCAGGACCAGCCCACGAGAAGGACACAGACTCTGTAAAGACTAGATTTTTAACGTGTCTGTGCCCCAAATCCTCGACGTGTGAGGTGGATGCGTGGGACTTTGCTCTCAGCGGTACCCCGCCAGCCACACACAGGCTCTGGCCTCCCCTGCCCTATACACTGTAGAGCATTTCTTTTCTGCTGGGTCACTTGTTTTGCATTTTACAGAACCAATGGAATGACACGAATTTACACATAAATAAAAGCAAAATCCCAGAGCAAACAGCACAAGGCCAGCTTGGCCAGGGACATCCTCCAACATCAAAGTCTCTGAGGTGCATCAAAGATTCAGAGAAGCAAACACGCGGTGCCCGCCCCTCCTGGAGCCACAGAATCACTTCCGGCCCCAGCCAGCTCCCTTCCGGAGCTTAGGTTTCTGTCCTCCAAGCTCTTTGGGGTTCAGGCAGGTGGGTGGTGCTCCTGTGGGCTCCACCTTGCTGGGCTGCAGTCACTGGTGGCCTGAGGAGGCTCAGCTGCTCCCGCAACTGTTGGCTCCTGGTCAGGTCCTTGCAAGTCCCCACAAGCTCCATTCTCCACCGGTGGACGGTGGGGAGGGCTGCAGACAGGCCTCCGGTCAGGGCAGGCAGCCTGAGAACAAGTTCAGGCCTGGGGCCGGGGCTGGGCGGGCGAAGGAGGGAGGCGTGGGCCTGGGGTGGGGCCCTGCTTATGGTAGTTGGTCCTTCAAGGCCTCTCCCCTCCAAGAACCCCTCTTCCACATGGTCTCTGACTTCCTTCCAGGCCCAGTGCTGTCAGTGGAACCATCTGTGATGACGGAAATGTTCTGTATTTGCTCCATCCAGCACCATCACCCCAACCAGATGTGTGCATTGAACATTTGCAACTAAGGAACCGAATTTTAAGTTCCTTCAGGCCATTTTAAGAAAGAGCAAAGTTTTCACATATGTCTTTGTTGTTTTACGTTTGTTTTATTCATGAACATAAAGAAAAATACCAACTAACATGCATGTTGGAACTGCCCATGGAGAACTGGTTTGTAAACATTTGCTGACACCCCACTGCTTAAGTCCTGGCTTGGCTAGGTGCTGGGAGGTGACTCTGTTTCACACGCTTCTCTCTCTACACCCCAGTGTCACCACCTGTAAAATGCAGACTTAACGTGTCACATCTGCTGACAGTTTGATAAGACCAGGAGCATCCATTTCCTCTTTCTAATGCGCCTTCCCCGTGACTAGAGGTGAGAAATGTAGAACCTCCATTACAGACTCCCTTGCAGCTAGAGCTCTGGGGTGAATTCCATTCTGCCTAGTAATCGCATTCACAAGAGACCAGAAAGCAGGAGTGAGGCAGAGCCAGGGTCCTGCTGCTTCCGGCAAGGTGGTGAGACATGAGCTTGCCTGGCACAGTGTCTCGGTGCTTTGGCACCAATTCTTGGGTATCATGAGGAAGGTGTGGTCAGCTTTTCTCTGGCTCTTCTTAGAAGCAGTGTTCGGCTGAGATGCCCCGGCTCTCCCGGAACCCCAAGGGAGAACCCAGGGCCACAAACACTCGGAAGGCAGGTGCACAGGGATGCATGGGTGGGCTCCCAATGCTCAAACCTGCTCTCAGGGCTCCTGAGCTTTGCATATCTCTCTATTAACACTTCAGCTACCCAGCTGGTGTGGCTCAGTGACTGAGTGTTGACCTAAGAACCAGGAGGTCAGCGTTCCATTCCCAGTCAGGGCCCATGCCCAGGTTGTGGGCTCAATCCCCAGTGTGGGGCATGCAGGAGGCAGCCGATCAATGATTCTCTCTCACTGATGTTTCTGTCTCTGTAAAAACATATAAAACATATTAATGTTAAATTAATAAAAGTCCAGCCAATGTCCCCAGTGAGACGAGAGTTCTCAGCTCCCACCTCACTGGGCACACACAAGGCCATGTGGGCGTGACCACTTGCCACCCCCTGCCACACCACTGTAGGACGTCAGTGCCATTCAGGGTCATCCTCACCCCCTATGTCGAAGGTGTGTGCAGGTGTGTTCAAGAATGAGCCACACCTGCTGGCACCCGTGTCACCTGCTCCTTCCTTCCACTTCTGCTATCTTGCATTCCAAAGCAACAAAACACTTAAGGCACCGGCCCAGGGCAGCCTTGCCTTCAGACCCCACTGGATTGTGCCCCCCATCATTGGAAGGTCCTTTCTCTTTCTAATCTGTATCACCTTTCATCAGCTGAGCCTTACGGGAAGTAAGCTAGTAATGTGAAGTCTCTCATAAAGTTGTTCATATCAAGACTAGTGGCTTGGTGCACGAATTCATGCACATCGAAAGGAAATTAATAAGATGAAATATTTTAATATCGCCAGTCGCCCTTTCTCTATGATACAAGTGTCAACCAAATTCACGATTGACAATGACAAATCGAAACACATGTGTGTGATTGGCGCCAGCGAGAGCTTTATATGTATCGGGCATGTGCGAGTCAACTTAGCCTTTTATACATGCTTAATTAGACCTGCTTTCTGATTTAGCTAAACTTTTTCAAGCCCAGTGAAGCACCCCAACTTCTCTTTCAAGTAATTGTCAGCAATACAGCAGTAAATATCAACACAAAGCTGATTATTATCGTAGATCACACAGGGAGAACAAAGGGTAAAATATTTAACTGCAGGAGTGTTTGACTATATTCTGCTCAGTGAGAAAACCTGAAGTCATTTTCAAGGTCCACCATTTCTTCTTTTCAGTCAGTTGGGTCAAGTTTCTAAGCTTTCTAAATCTCCGTTTTCCGGCTAATGAAAAGAAAATAGGATTCCGCCGAGTCTTCTATCTACCTACTCCAGGACTTCTGTGAGGATCAAATGAGATGAGGCATGGGAAAACGCTTCACAGACATTTGGTTAAAGTGTAAAATGTTTCCTGCTGGGGATCAAGCCCACAACCGGGGCATGTGCCCTGACTAGGAATCAAACCCTGACCTCCTGGGTCATAGGTCAGCGCTCAACCACTGAGCCGCACCAGCTGGGCAGGTCTCCTCTTTCTGTGAGCTGTACCTCTGGACTGTGAACGTCACACGTGCTTGCCGGCATTTCCCCCCCTTTGGTGGGACAGGATGGCTAGCGCAGGCTGGAGTGGGCTGCTTGCATTCTCCCAGCTCAGGGAGCCCTGGTTAACCCGTTCCCGAGAGCAGGCCTTGGTAAGGACAGTGGACTCTGGGTCTTTGAAATGGTTCCTTTCCCCTCCCTGCCAGAAGCACGAGGGATTTTCCTCTACTACAATGGGGCCTTGACTTACGAGTGTCGAGTGTCCCAACTAACGAGTTTTTTGAGATACCAGCTGTCTCTCTGCCGATTTTTTGCATTGAGTTGATAGAGTAATTTGAGTTAACAAGCTCCTTAACGAACTCGGTCTCGGAATGAATTAAACTCATAAGTCAAGGCCCCACTGTTTTTACTCTGGGAACCTGGTGAGCTCTTAGAGGAAAAATGCACAAAAGTGTGGGGACCCCCGGTGACTGGGTCCCCCGCCCCCTGGGAGTTTTTCTCCCTCAGCCTGGTCCTCACAGAGCCTCCAGCAACTCGTCCATTACAGTTCCAGCCCTGGCTCCCCCCAGGTTTGTGCTGCTGGGGCTCTGCTCCGGCCGCCGAGGTTATTCTCCGTCTTCACCTGGTGGCCTCTCTCACTGGGGGTGCGGGCAGGGGTTTGCGCGGTGACCCCACCTCACTGACCAATCCGAGAAAAGTTGTTGATTTTTCTATTTGTCCAGCTTTTTGCTTGTTAGGACGAAGTGGCGACTTGTGGCTTCTTACATCCTGGGCCAGAAACAGAAAGTGCCCCCAACAAATTTACAGTCACACTTTTATGTCTGCTTTTTTTTTCCTCCTGGGAAAACTGACTATAAAGTTTATCAGATGCTCCGAGGGACTCTGAGCCCTTTGTCACCGAGCCAGGTGGTGGGTTGGAGGAGGGCCTGGGCTCAGAGCCGGAAGACGTGGCCACGAATACTTACCTGGTTCTGAGTGATTGACAAGCCACTTCATTCCGGCCCCGTGCAACACGGGGCGACGACCTTTGTCTTGTGTGGTGAGTTTATCGCAAGGTCACACTCCCGTTCGCACACTCTTTGACACGCTTCCTCACGAAAGGTGGAGCCTCGTTGTGCTCTCCTTACATGGGCCAGCTTTGATGAGATGCTTGTAATTAGCGGAGGCAGCAATGTTGCTGCGTGACCCCAGCGTCCACGTTGGGAAAGGGGATACAGCATTTGTCTGGCTTCCTCTCGCCCGGGCACATGCCCAGGGGCCCTGGGGCCAGATGTCCGCCTGGCCACTCAGAAGCTGTGGTGCTGGAGGGGCAGGTGTTCCAGGAGACCCGCTGATCCTGCCCCCAGCTGTTGGCTCTTCCCAGCTGGGAGTCAGGCACGTGAGTGAGCACCTTCAGATGACTGCTGATTGCTCCGAGCCTTTGAGCTGCCCCAGCTGAGGCCAAGCAGACACAGCTGGCCCTGCTGAGTCCTGATCATGAGCAGAATAAATGTGGCTGTTGCTTTAAGTCACTAAGTTTTAAGTGGTTAGTTACCCAGCATCAGATGATAACGCAACACCCTGCCTACCTTCAGGGAAGTGTGAGCCTCAGCTAGCACGAGACCTCCCACATGGCAGGCACTCAATAACATGGATGTGTGACCTGAATATTGGGCCCCTGTGAGCAACTGATGGTCACATGACAGGGAACCCGGCCACTTAGCTAAGTCACTCTGGGTTTTCTGAGGTGCAAAGGGTTAGTCACCCAGCCTGGCTAATTGGCTGGGTCTTTGGAGAGGGGTGTGTGTCCTCAGCCCAAAACAAGCTTGGGGGAAGCACCCCGAAGGAGGGTGCTCTCTTTCCTGTTGGCTGTTGGCCACCCTAGAGAAGGGTGGGAGCGCCAGGAGGGCCTGGGAGCAGTTGGCCGAGGCTGGGCTGGGTGGCGGTGGTCCCTGCAGGATGCACAGTCTGCCCTCCTGCCACCTCAATTCGGGGGGCCTCCCCTCAGTGCCCCCAGGACCGGCTATGCATCCCATTATCCTTGCACGATTGTGCCATCTATTCGCTGCTCCTGCTCCCTCCCCACCAGGAAGTCCTTCAGGGAAGGGCCTGCATTGCATTTGTTTTAACATCAGAGCTTAACGTGTGCTCTGGTGTGAGATAGGTTCCCGGCAGGTGTGTCCGTAGAAGGCCTCTGAGCACCTCCGGAGGAGCCCAGCACAGGGGGAAGGTGGCCAGGAGGTGAAGTGGCCCCACCCAAGCTTGCTGTGCTGGAGGCTGGAGGACCTGGCTGGGAGCCACTCCCCCCCTTCCCATGGGGACGGAGACGAGAGAAGCAGCATTCTCACCTCAGGCCTGTTTGGAGGTCCCTGTCCTGCTTCGTGCCCCATAGTCCACGACCGATCCCCTGGCAGTAACCTGCCCAGCCCCACCAGTCCTGTGGGATGGGGATCCCATGGTTGTGCTCCCGTCACCTCCCCGCCCACTCCCAGGACCCCAGCTGCCTGCTGTGCTAGCCCCCTGCATGCCCACCCCATCTCTGTCTCCGTCTCCCTCTCTGCTGGCCGTGAGGTTCCCTGTCTTCCTGTCTGGCTGGGGTATAAGCCCCGTCTGATATCAGCTCTGACGCTGCTTTCCCAGAGGGGGTTTGCCCAGACCCAGAACTCAGGATCCACGTGAAAACGCTACTGAAGAAAAGGCTGAGTCGCCAGAGGCTCCTAGACCAGAAAGGAAGGACCGCCTCCCCCTCCCCCTTCCCCACCAATTTCCCATCAGACACAGAGCTTTACGGCAGGAAGGCCTGCCCGCTGGAGCCTGGAGCCTTGGGCTGCCTGCCCTGGGCCTGGGTGTCTGCCCGAGCAGATGGGTTTCACTTGCTGCAGGAGGGATCTCTATACAACGTTAACCACCAACATAGAAGCAGCCGGTCAGCCCCGGGCTGGCTGGTGGAGGAGCCCAGCTGCTGGGTCCGCCCTTGTGGCCTCACTAACACCCACACGTCTTCCTTCATCCTCCAGCCCCGGCTCAGGAAGACGTCTTGGCCCTGATGTCGTGGAGCGACCCTGATGGGAAGGCAGGTAGGCCTTGTGCTGTGTGTCATGGCCGTGCCTCAGTGTCCAGCCTCAAGGCCCACCCTGTGCAGAAAGGGCCGGAAGCCCGGTGCTGCTGGGATAGGGACCACGTCTATGGGAATGGGGTGTGATCCGCAGCTGGTGCAGCCAAAGTACAAGTTGATTGGTTGAACCTGGTGTTCCTTCTGGGTCTGACGGCCGTCCCAGGGCCCTTCTTCACACGGCTGTGCCCAGAAACAGTGAGCCAGGGCCCCGGGGGCC